CCAAGCCCTAGGCAGTCCTGAAGAATGGAATGAAGCACAGTAAAAATCTTAGAGCTTAATGTTGGCAGATGTGCTGTACACTGAGGATTCAGGTTCAAGCAGGACAGAGCCCACCTTCCTGGGGCTTATAGTCCCAGTATGAGAAAGGCCTCAGATGATAAAACAGGTTGATGAGGACTATGATAATTTTTTATTTCCTGTTTTGGGGACTTTAGAACATAGAACATAGAGCAATATCACTTTATCTAACTTGGTAGACAGGGAGATTAAGGAAATATCTCAATTCAGAGTTATGTCTGAGATTTGAACCTAAGACTGATGTCAAAATGTTTAGAACACGAGTATTCTCAGTGTTTTGTTTTGTTTTTATTTTTTTAAGAAAAATGATTAGATTCATTCTTTTTCTCTCTCTGAAGCATCCCTAAAAGGAATTCTTAGGGTATTCTGACATTTATATTGAATTCTACCCCAATGACCTGCCTAGGACAAGTTATTATTATCATGGGGACTAAGATACTCATCAGAATGTTTGTTATTGTAATCAGACAGCCTTGGTTTCAAAACCTGGCTCAGCCACTTAGTGCTCTGTGATCATAAGCACATGACTAAATAACTTTTTGAGCTTCTATTTCTCCATCTGTAAAATAGGGATTGTGATATCCATTTCATCAGGGCTTTTGGGAGAAGTGACCTAATACATGTAAAATGCATAGCACAATGTTAGCTACTAATAGGAAAAGACCTCAACGTTTTCCAGGCCTGTTTCCTTGAAAAGACCCAACTTCGCCCCTAGAGCAATCCTTTCATGGGAGTGTACCATCCAAGTTCTGTCATCCTTTCAACATGGGAAAGATACGTGTGTTGCTTGGTAGGCAAAGAACTTGAAGTTATCTGGTGCCCCTCCACTTCTCTATGATTTCTCCTCCAAATGGACAGGAACAGACACATTATGTTTCATTAATTAAAACTTGGAACTTAAACAGCATTTGTTACTCATAGTAAAGGCTGGTTAATTCGGACTCTTATCTAGAACTCTAAGTTGACTCCCCCTGCCCCCTTTTCCACTTCTCTTTAATGAAAAAGAAGCAAAAAGACAAGAAAAGTTAAGAGTTTATTACTGGATAGTTCCTCTTCAAGGGACTGGTCCATGGTCAGAAGATACTATGCCCTCTGCACATGCCACCTGTCCCTCAAGATCTTGCCTGCCTCTCTCGCATCTCCTGGAACCTGGCACAGTTCCTCACACTTAGTGGGTGTTTAGTAAACATTTGTTGGATGACTGAAGACATTGCCTAGGCCCTAGCTAGACTATTCCCTAGACACGTTCTGAGTTTTCCTGTTTCCATGCTGTTATTTCTGTCTGGAGTGCCCCTTCCAGTCATGGCCCTGTGGCCTCTGGAATTATTGGTGCCTTGTCTTACTCTTTTTATACGGTCCTTGTACACATCAGCTCTGCTTTTTTGTACTTTTGAAAAAACACTGCATTTGGTATATCATATGCTAACAGCTTTTGAACTCTTGCAGTGGACTCAGTAAATGTGAGTTACGTTATTTGCTTATTTAATGCCCATACACCTTTATGAGATAGATACTATTATTAGCTCCATTTAATAGATGAGAAAACTGCAACCTTAAGAGATTAAATAACTTATATCCCTAGAAAGTTTTCTGAACTCAATGGAATTAAAGTGAGTTTCTAAGGCCTTGAAGTCTGCAGGCTCATCCACAGGAACTGCGGTCCCAAAGGATGTCTCTGATGCTGTGGACAAGCTTCTCTGTTAGAGAGCAGTGCTGCCCACAGAACTGGGTGTTGTAAAGCAGGAACATGGGCTGACAATATTTATTCTTCATTTCTCACAAGTTTCTTAAAGATCTTCAAATGGGCTAATATTATTGTCTTCAAATTTCAAAACACTGTGCAACCTAGGTCAGGTATTATGGTTTCATTTTATGGATGATGAAGACAAAACCTGGAACAAAGTACCTGTAAGAGGTGGAGCTAGAACTGAACCCTGATCTCCTGACTCAGCCACTGCTCTTCACTACATTCTCCCTTCATACATTAACAACAAAGAGAGGCAAACAAAAGATCCCCAAACCAACCAAGCAACCAAGCAACCAATCAGCCAAATGTTAAAGGGAGAAGGTTTCTTCAGGAGGTGTGTCTTCTGGGAGCAGACTGGGTTCTTTCCGGGAAGCAGCGAGGAAGAGGGCTGACTTCAGTACCAAGACTTCTGGAGAACTCCTGCTTCCCAGGAAAAGGAGTTGATCACAGCATCCTTTTCCTGTTTTTCCTATCTTCTTGTTTCTTGAGTGTTGCTACCAGAAAGAGGACTCTAGTCCCCTGACTCTGGGGTCTTAGCCCTGTCTCTTCAGACTGAAGGGAAGAAGGGAAGTTTTCTTCTTTGCTCCCTCTCTTCGTCTCTCCCTGCTCATGCCCTGCAAATTCCCGGGGTTCTGCGCTGCCAGCCCTGAATGAGGAGACTGCTGCTCATTAACTCCCTTGTTGCCCCCACCCCACCAAGCACTGCTCCCTGTAGGCATTTCAGTGGGAGGGTCTGGACTGGCAAAGCAGCAGCCCCTTTCAGAAAGAAGGGACCAAGATTCAGATCCTGCAGTGTCCCAGACGGTAAGAGATGGGAAGGTATGGGAGGCTGGCTACTTTTTGCCTTGATTTATCTTTGAGAATTTCTGGTTTGTTCATCAAGCCACCTAGAATATGCATCACTACACTTCCGTTTTCTTCCCTTTCAAAATCCAGCCCATCTACTTTCAGCTTTATGAGCTCTGAGGAAGAATTTTTCACAACCCAGAATTGTACTTTTTCATCTCCTTCCTCTTCACTCTTCCTTCCTCCTAATGTCAGGTTTTAGGTCAACCAAAGGTAAAGACAGGAAGGTTGGGTATGGCTCTGGGCCACAGGGATGTTGGTGCTGGTTCACCTGACTCTCCTCCTGAGCTCAGCCTTGGCTGATCACAGAGCCTTGACGTCCTGTACTTCGGGTTGGTGTGCTGACAGCTTTTCCTCTCTATTTCTTGGGTGTTGCCAACCAACGTAGGGCTCTGGTCCAAAGACTTCTTGGACCAGAACGGGCATTTGGGAGAATCTTGTTACTTTCCCAGCCTCCAGGCCAAGAATGATTCCCAAAGAAGATTGTTCACTTGCTTTTATTTTAAAATCTTTAGGAATGAACACTTTAAAAATGATACTATCTAGTCTTATATATTCCCATAGTCAGGAAGGTCTTTTGCATGTCTCACCTAAAAACCAAGCTTTAAACTGAAGGTGTTTTCCTGTTGACATTAGGAGAAGCAAGACCAGCTTCTTACTTTATGACAGTTGTTTCCCTTCATAAAGGATCTGACTTTTAAATGTTTTGTTATGTGCAAACATTCCCAAACCTCAGATGGACAAGCTTTAACTGTGGGCTCAGTGGTATCATTAGGCTGGTGGAGGAGCAAGTGGGGAATGCTTTTTCTCCAGTGAAAGATGGAAAGGGTTTTTGAGAATAAAATATTAACATTTAGGGCTTCTGGATGAAGGATATATTGTAATTCTTTGGATCTGAATTGCTTCAACATAAAATTAAGAATGATTTTTGCAAAAAATTGGTTTAAATCTTCTTTGCTTGGTTTTCAAGAGGCTGGTGGTTGTGGGAGAGGGGCTGAGCGTGCTCTGGTTTTCCTTTTCCTTAGGCAGCTACAGCAGGGATGGCATCTCGGCAGTCTCCTGAGGGTGGAGGGTCTCCCACTTGAGGAATGGCCAGACCAAGTAAGGGCAGGCCTGAATGGGAACTGGGAGGTGTGGACTTCCAGAAGTTACCGGCCAGAAAGGGGCCACCAAAGAAGGAAGGGGGAAGCCTGGAGGGCAAAGGGCACAGATGCTCGTAAGGTGACGGTGCAGGTTGTGAGAGAGCTGGAAAAGGAGTAAGGACTGGGCCAAATGACAAGGGATTCTGTCATCTCCAGGACCTGCTGCACCAGAAACTGTCAGCTCTTAGGTCTGTTCACCTTGGCATAGCTTGCAAAACACTTTCACAGTCTTTCCCACCAGAGCATGGGAGGGAGGCAAGACAAGTGGTTTTATCCCTATTTCACAGGTGAGGATAGTGAGGCTCAGGGAGGTGATGCCATTGGCTCAAGGAAGCAATCCGCAAATGGCAAGGCCAGGATTTGAATCTAGGTTGCTTCTTTCTGAAATACGTGCTCTTTCACTGACATTTCACTGCCTCTGTAATACAGGATGGTGGCCTGGGCAAGGGTCAGGGTATGAGTTTTCCTTGGCATTTCCCTTGTGTGGACCTTAGGCCTGTTGAGTTTGTCTGTCCTAGCTGTCCCCAAATTTCCCTCCATTTTAATGGCCTCCACAGGCTGGCTGTAGTGAATTGTTCCCAATGGTGGTGAGGCCAGCTGTGTTGCCACCACACTGGGACGGATGCTTAGTTGGGCCTCCTTGTGAACTAGAGGTGCACTCTAGTTAAGACTTGACTTTGGACAAGAAAAGATGACTCCTGCCAGCCTTCTAATGTTGACTTTCTACCAGAACCCCAGACACTTCCAGCCACACAGCAGTTCTGACCCACTTTTGTTTGGCTGAGCTGCAGGGGGCACTGTCTGCAACTCTGCCAGCTTGCGCCTTGAGGGGAAATGAGCTCAATTAAGTAGGCAGGTCCCAGTGCGGCATTTCGGCAGCACCATTATTAATCTCATGGAGCACAGGAAAAATACAACCTCGTATCTCTCTGCCCCACTTTCATTTGTGTCGATGTTCAGGACAGAGGATCATACAGGGGGATGCCTTTGCTGTTGCATTTCTTTCCGCTCCTCTGTCTCATCCCCTGCTTCCTACCTTCCCCCAAAGCCCCTAGGACTCCACTCTGAATCTGATGTATTGTCATGGCCTTGGTTCATGGAAGGGCAGGAGTGTTTTATAACTTTGTTTCTGAACTTCTGCTTTCTTTCTTTCTCTCTCTCTCTCTCTTTTTTTTTTTAAAAAACAGAGCAGCACTTTCCAGAGGTGATGCTGGGGGAAGAATTTCTTAGCCTAAGTCTGGACCAGGTGTGCAGCTTGATATCCAGTGACAAGCTGACTGTTTCCTCAGAAGAGAAGGTATGATATGTGGCCCTCGGTGAAACAGGAGCCTCATGTGGGAGGTAGTCATGTGGTTAAGTGAGACCTTTTCTCAGAGCTGATCCTTGGTCACTAACTTCACTTTCAGGACCCTGTAAAGAAGAAATAATGGTGGTGATGATGGTGGCGACAAAGCTGCTTTCATTTACTGAACATTTACAGTTTGCCAAGCACTTTGCTAAGTGCTTTATGTTCTTCCATTCACTCAGCCTTCACCATAGCCCTGTGAAGCAGGAGTTTCCATTGTTCCCACATTACAGATGAGGAACAGTGAGACTCTGGAGTTAATTAGCTTATCCAAAGTAGCTCAGCTGGTCACTGCAGAGCTGGGGTCTCCCTGTCACCTTGTCTTAATCATTGTCCTACATGGCCCCTTGTGAATATCATTGAGCATTTATGCTAGAGCAGACCTTTTGGGAACATCTATTCCAGTAGGGATTTGGAATTCTTACTGATGATGAAATTGAAGCACAGAGAGGGGGTAGGAACTGCTGAAGGCCACATAGTTAGTCAGTGCAAGGACTAGAACCCAGGGCTCTTGACACCCAGTCCACTAAATCATTGATCATACACTTCCATTGTGCTGGAATCTTGATGTTTGCCCACGGCTCTAGCTGACCTGTGACTGCTCATCTGTCTACTGCCGGGCCTTCCCTCTCAGTGACACTCTCATTGGAATATTCTCCCCATCCATCTCCACCTGGTTGAATTCCAGACCAGTTCAGATTCTGCCATTACTAGGAAGAATTTCTTTACTCCAGGAAATGTAGCCGTTTGAACCGAAAATAACATAAGCCCGCCCTGTCCAAGTCTCATCTCTAGTATTTACAAATTATTTTTGTGTGACCTTGGGTAAGATACTTTACCTCTCTGTTTCCTCATTTATGAAGTGAAGATACTAATAGAACATATTCCATAGGGTGGTTGTAGGAATTAAATGGGATAAGGTTTGTAAAATATCCTATCTGGTACCTAGTAGGTGTTCAATCAGTGTTAGCTGAGTTTATCATTGATCTTGCATCTGGAATTAAGTCCTTTTTATTCTGTGTTTCAAGATAACACTCACCTTGTTCTGCTTTTTACTGCATTTAGCTCTGACCTGGTCTTTCCTCCTTTAGTCAACTGTGAGTTCCTTGATGGTAGGGTCACATTTTGTTCATCTCTGTATCCTCAGAGATGCTCAATACATGTTTCTTGAATTGTCCTAGTCTACTCTTAGTGTCAAATCCTGATGTCCTTTTCTGAGGGAACGTTTAAGGAAAAGCCCTTGAAAATGGTTTTACATTGGAGATAAGACCAAGTCTAAAGGCATCTATCCAGAGGATGGGGTGAAAATCACAAGGCCCTGCCTGTTGTCTTGCAGAAGTTTGATTAATAAGAAAAGCAGTTGTTCATTGGAACTGTGAGCTACCCTGTGGTTTCAGAGGGATCTCTAGAAGGTGGCTAGCACAATAATCTAGACTCTTCCTTAGGCTTAGGGAGGCCTCTGCTTTCATTGACTGGTGTGAAACAGCACCTCCAGGGAAAAGAATGCCTCCGGCCAGCCCAGAGGCTCTCAGCTACTGCGCAGACTCCCTTTCTTCTTGTCAAGCCTGTTCAATATCTTCTCTGGATTGTGCTACAAAATTGGCACAGTTTGAAGGAATGAGCTAGTCAGTTGACTGGCTGTGTGATTGTTAGAGCACTTCTTCAGTTTGGGGCCTGCTTGACCATGCCCACAAGTATAGTTTCAAAAAAATGGAAGCAATAATAAAACAGCAGCATTTGTATCAACTTGAAGGGATTTGGGTTGAGAGGGGGGACCCTGCTACCTTGAATTAGTGTTGGCCCATCCTGCTCTGGGATCATAGTAAGTTTTATTCTGGAGAGGACTTATCTGTGCTTACTGTGCCAGGGCAGGGGTGGAGCAGGGTTGCTGGCAGGGAAAGGCAACTTGGACTTTGGACTCAGGCAGACCTGGTTCCATGCTTTGCTTGATGCTTACCAGCTGTATGACCTTGAGAAGTCACTGGTCTCTTTGAACCTTAGTTTCCTTCCATGTGAAATGTGAATACAGCCCGTTATGTCATGAGGATTACACATGATGGATATAAAACAGCAAATATAATGTTTGGCAGGTGCTCAATAAATGACTTTTGTCATTGTGATTGCCATAATTTTGAGACACTTACTGATAATGCTAATGGTATCAATTTTGCCATTGATAATGGTAAAATAAGCCATGGAATTAATTTTATATTTCCAGAAACAAAGAAACATGACATTAAATCTACACACTTAAAAATTGTCGATAGTGGCTCTTATTTATTCATTTGTGTACATGTGAGTTGCGCATTCTGTGTAATAAGAGTTGGAGTGCGGGAATTTTTCACATTGATGAAATTGTGTCATCATGTTGATTCTTGGAAGTTTTGTGTAAGTTCAGAGATATGTGCTGCTTTTCAGAAAGTAGATTATTCATGATCTTGATCACTGTGGTACCTGTCAAGGTTGGCAGTATAATTCTGAGGCTTATCAAAGTTTAGTAGGATTTGGCCTGCATTTTCTCTTTGTCAGAATTCATAGTTTTACTTCCCCTGAAGTGAGCACATGTTGCTGTAAGTTAAATGTCTGGAGACCTTTGACAAGTAGATGTTCATTATTTGCATGCTAGTGTTTTAGACCTGGAAAATTCTGTGATCTGTTCTAGGAGACTTGGTGATTTCTACTCCCGTTAATTAGATTGCATATGATAGGCAACCTTTAGTATGCACAATAGGTTTTTTTCCCAATATTGCATAATAGTGAATTTATTGGAGTGTATTTGAAGTAATATCAGGGGTCTTAATTTAAGCTAAAATTCAACTTCATTTAATATTAACATTTGCACAAAACCCAGCTGAGCCGGTAATTAAATAACCCATAGTCAGCTAAATCCGCACTTGAACAGCAGTATTAGTCATCTTAAACTTAGCTCTTTGCCTAGCATACAGGTTTCTTTCAACATATTTTATAAAATGCAGCCAGATTTCAGATATCAAAATATGAAAAAACAATGCATCTTAAAATAGAAGAAATGTGGTATTTTAGTGTTAATGATGGTTAGAAATGACAATGGCTGGGCCCAGGCAGTTAGCTCATTGGGAGTATGACAGTCTAGGCTCTACAGTCAGCGTGGCTGAGTTTGAATCCTGGCTCTACTGCTTTGACAGGCTGAGTGATCTTGGGCAAGTTATTTCCAAACCAAAATGTATGCACCAAATATAGTCATGAATTTTGTCTGTCTTATGGTTACTGCTAGAATGGTATGGGTTCATGGTATACACACACAAAATATATTTGTTGAATGAATGAATGAGAAGCCTCTTTAAGTCGCAGTTTTCTCATCTGTAAAAGGGGAGTAATGAGTATGTAATATGTATCTGATAAAGTTGTTCTGAGTTTGAAATCAGATAATACATGAAAAATGCTTAGCACATAGCTATTACCGTAAGATATTATTATTACTGCTGTTACTACTACTAGTAGTACTATTGCTACTGCTAACTGCTGACTGGGGCCTTTCTCAAGGGGAAGCTTTTTGCAGAGCCTGTATTGATTTGGGTGGCTGCGTGACCTGAGGCTTGGTGCCTAGCAGGGACAGAGAGCGGCAGTGGCCTCTCGGTCTCCAGTGTACCCAGCAACCTCAGCACTGTCTGAGCTTTTCCCATGTCTCAGATACTGTTCTTCTCCTACCATGACTTGCTTTTGCCCATTCCTTATCTCCTCTGCTGTACTCACACTCCTTGAGGGCTGTGAGGGTCCCTTAGCCACCTTTGTGTCACTCACAGTGCCTGACACAGAGCCCCTGGAGATGCTGAGCAGACATTCTCTGAGGGAGTGAAGAGACAGACTAGGGCTGGACTCTGCCCTGAGCCAGCTGAGGTTATGGGAATAAATCTAACATTTTCCCAGAGAATAAGGAAAAATGTGGAAGCTAGAGGTCAGAGGAGGGCATGGATCTTTGCCCTTTTTTCTCCTGTTTTCCCTTCACATGGTGGTGGTTTTAAAATTCTTATTATTTGAGAGAGGACAAAAGGATCTGGTAGAAGTCACAAAATCACTAACTCTTTGGGTAGAACCTTCCCCCTCCACCCCACTCAAAGCTGGGGGAAACCGGAGAAGAAAGCAGCCCCAGTCACCTGGTTCTCCTGCATGGGGTGGGGTGGAGTCGCTGGGTCAGAGCTAAGCCTGTGAACAGATAGCCTGTTTCTTGTATTCCCCTTTGAGACTCTCATCATGAACAGACTCTATGGCCCAGGGGAAGGGTAAGCAACCTTCTGGGACAAACACACTCTAAGGAGATGACCTCTGAGTTCTAGTGCAATTTTGCTAGTCACTGGAGTGTTCTGAATCTTTGCTTTCTTATCAGGTAAATGTGTTTCTACTCCTCAAAGGTTCCGTGCCTTCTTATGAAACACTATTGAGGTTTTCAGAGTGAGTACTAATGGGGAAATAGTCCACATTTGAAACACAGGTCAAGAAGAAATTGTTTAAGGCTCTTGAAAAGTTAGACAAGGGTCAAGTATAGGTTAGTTTCTCTCTGCATGATCACACTGTGCTATTATCTCCTTCAAGTGTCATCAGGGACCAAATTCTGATATCTTATCTCCTGGAAGGGATTGGGTCCAGTCTCCCTGGATCTTTAAGGTTGCATTCCCTCCTGTCTGAATCCCTAGCCTCTCCAGCCGGAAGTAGGAGTGGGATACAGGCTGGAGCTCCTAGCCAGTAGGCTGGGCTTGAACGCCTGCTGCCCAGGTGTTATCCTGTGACTAAGCGATACATCTCAGGCCTAGGCTGAGCAGTTGGCAGCCCTGCCTTTCTCTGAGGTCAGCATTAGAGGTGCCAACTTCTCAGCCTGCGAACAGTGATCTGGTGGGGGGTCCCTGCCCCAGCAGTTACTCTTTTTACTGCTCTCCTTTGGAGAACGTCATTCAGTAAGCACCTAAGAGTGGAGTACT